TATTTCAAATGCAGAAAACTCATGTTAAATCACAATGAAAACTTCCCAAAAAAAATCCCATCTCCTCATCAACCGCTAATAAAAGTGATAGTTCAAATGAAGTGCAAAATGATTTTCTTCAACATACATCAGATGACTTTTGTGTTAGTTTATGTGCAATAGGGCAGTCCAACATGGTTTTTTCTTTTTGCAGTGCTAAATCTTTATCCAGCTCATTAGTTGGGTTTAGCGAAAAAAGTTCAGTAGAAGATTGGCATGTATTAAGTTGATGGAGAAACCTATATTCCAGATCACATTCCTCTGGATTATTCAGATTGGAAAGCTTGGGTGTTAACAAATGATAACTGCACGAATGTTGAGAGGCTAGGTGTGCTAGTTATTTTAGTTGGTAGGCTCCAAAGGTTTCGGAGTTTGTAACTGTGTTTGGATCACAAAAAAAAAAAATGGTTTAGAGCTTCCATTTCCTTTAGACTAATAAGAATACAAATTTAGTCAAGTATAAAAGTAGCCAAAAGAGTATTATCTATCTGATCTGGCCATCTGTCGCTGTCCATAAAAAAAGGACATCAAAGTTCATAATAGTTGGTAATAAGGTAAGGTTTTCGGATTGCAACAGGGTTCTTATGGGCAACTGTCCACTACTTGATTCCATTATGAAATTTTGTGAAATCCTTTCCTCCCCCAAACAATCAAATACCTCTGCTCTCTTCTATGTTTTCATTTTCTTTTTGATTCGGGGGGAGGTCTATTATGCCCAAACTATTCAACGGCAGCAATATTTTGTTTGGCTTATAGTATTCCATTTTGCCCAGTGCAGTTTTTGTCTCTATGATTTTCAGTTGACCTTTCAGTGGATGGAAAGACATACCATGAGTCCTTGGTTAACATTTTTGGACAACAAAGAAGCAATAATGATGCGACAAGCTCACTTGGACATGGACAAGTATGTACATCAAATTAAAACATTGGACAAACACTAATGGATGGGAAGATTGTTTTATTCCCTTGTTCAGGCCCAAAAATTAGTGACTGGTCTTTCTATTTGAAAACAAATATACTCAACTCGATTCAATAAGCCTTGTTTGAATTATTTGGGGTCAGCTAATCTTTGAAAACGTATATGTTCGACATAATACCTACTACTGAAAACCAAAGTACTATCAACATCGAAACAAAACTGCTGGTCAAAAATAAAACTTAATTTAAGATGAGAGTAACTATTCACAAAAGAAAAAATTCATGCACAACTCCAGTGAACTACCCACAAAAGCAGTAAGAAAAATGATATCTAAATGATTTTTTTTCTTCTTCTTCTTCTAAACAATGTTTGTGAGAATGCAGTTGCCCTCACAAAGGTGTAATTGCTGCAGAACAGAATTGAGTTTTCACCCTTTGTTTTGTTATAAAGCTGTGTGCAGCCTGTATTAACTCACATTTTGGGACACGTCTTGATCAATCAAATAATGATAATCCTTTCTGTTTGCTTTATATCTAAAGTATGATCACTAACTATGCCATTGATGTTATAGCATTTCTCAGACAATCATGACAAGTCATAACCAATGTTCTCCAGTGTCAAGCATTCATTATGTCAACATTATGGCACAGCACAGTGCACGGCCTCAAACATCTAAAATAATCCCATCTCTAAAAAGGTGTTTAGATTATAATAACAGTATAGAAGTTTAACCCTTACCTCTGCCAAAGAGATTCCAAAGTCATCTATGATTCCAGACTGAGCAGGTGATGAATATCCAACCTGCATAACCAACATGTCTCATTAGTTCAGCTCTCACTTGATTAATTATGCTAGAAATTGGGTGCGACGAGTTCAATTTTTGAAGAGAAAAACTCTGCTATGTATACAAAAATTCTCTGCATTACATCCCCCTTTGAACAGAAATTGGCATCAAATCAACTGTCGAACTTCTGATTGCAGAAGTTCATAGATTCTAGCAGAGCACATTCCTGTGAACCACAGAAGCCAACCAACAGAAGGCATAAAGCAAGTGCAGCAACAGCTGATCAAGTGGAAATGATCAAAGTTTGTATTTTCCCATGGATTAAATAATCCAAACAAGCTTACTGAACATTTCATCCAGTTAGACATAAGACAGCAGTACAAGTAATAGCACCACCTGGAATAAGTTTCATGGAATTCTTGATTGTGTAAAGCTTTCATAAGAGTGCTTCTAAGAGGTCAGAGAAAGGTTATATGCATTGAAAGGGCCAGGTTTGGAATTTACTTGGTTAAAAATCGTTGTATTGGGAATTTCGCAGGTTGATTACTGATATTCCAGCGAGCAAAGTATCTTGATTCTAATGCTAAAATAAGGACTAGAAGGTAGATTTGACCAAAAAAAAATAGAAAAAGCAATTTGGGAGTCTGATTGATGGTTGGCAACCAGAATTTCCAAAACTCCTCACGACTCAACCACCAAGAACATAGTCTCAACTTCTCAAGGTTAATTTGATTCAATAGAGAGCTTGTAGACATAGAAATATATAATTAGCTCCCTGATTCTCCTAGTTTTACTAGCACTTTTAGATTACACAAACTTGGACATTGGACTATTTAGGACATTCTAGCTAGATCTAATGAAGACAAGATACAAAGAAACCTTATGATAACTTGGCCCAAAATAAAACCAGCAGACCAACATTTCCACAAACCAATTAAGAACCCTCATTGCTATGACATAGAAGATCATAAAAAAATTACACCTATGTAGCCTTAACCTGACATTTTATTCAATCCAAATGCACAATGTCTAGAACATGCTCTGTCTTAGACTACCAATTTGCACCCTTTTGCTTTTGCACTCACATCATTCTCCCCACTTTTTATAGAAAGCTCATCCTACGGTGTTGGCAATAAAGTGTTACAAGCCACGAAATCTAATTTTTTTTTTAAGTCAGATATAATTTTGCATCTTGGGAACATAAAGTATCGGGGTTGATTCAATATGATATATCTTTCAGTATAAATGTAGATGCCACAAGCTATTACCATGGAACTGCACCTTCAATTTATCTAGAATGAACAAATGATATATTTAGCTTGGCTAGGGACAACTAATCGGTTGCTTGGCTAGGTACAATGATACATTTAGCTTGGCTAGTTACAATGATATATTTAGCTTGGCTGAGACACTATGGATGTCAATGATATATTTAGCTTGGCTAGGTACAATAGATCGGTTGCTTTCCCCATCTCTTCCTTATGTTTAGGTTTATGATCAAATTTCACTTTGTAGTTTCACCAAATATTGCCACAAAGATCATTCTTCTCTTTCTCCCACACCTACAGTTTCTTGTTTTTTTGATGGTTAGCTTCAAAAGAATAAGACATCCAATCTTTGACGCAGGAGTAAGGATCAAAATTTTGTTTCAGTACATTATTTTGGTCACAACGGAATGGAAATGGAAATGGAAACAAAAACGGAAACGTTTTGACGTTTTGAAAACGTTTCGACCTGTTTTGAAAACCTAATAAAACAAATAAAAAATTTAAGAATTATTTTTTTAAAACATTGGTCGAAATATACTAAAATATCTTGAAATACCTTAAAACAGTCCGAAATAATTGTGCAAATACATTGAAATATAACAAAACATTTTAAAACATTATGGAACACCTTGAAGTATTAGAATTTCGAATTCATCATTAACTCGTTTCGGTCTCCTTGGAAACGAAAACGTTTTGGATGTTTCGACTGTTTCGAAACGATATTTTGATATTGGAGTAGGAGAAGAACTAAAAGGGTTTAATCCTCGGGATTCTTATATACGCTTATAGAAGTCAGCGACGAGCCCAGATCTAGCTGGGCCCAGGCCTAATTAGTGGGTTAAGTCCAATTAGTTAAAAAAGATGGTCAAGCTCAGTTAATAGCCTTAACCCAGTCCGAAGTTCAAGAAGACCCTGGAGCAACGCACGTGGAGAGTAAACATTGGGATAGCCATTACTAGAAGATAACAGCTATCCTTAATTGCACCTTTTCTTCCGAAAAGCTAGTAGCCTCATCTTCACGCCACCGCATCAACTGGGGCTTTGTGCCTATAAATTATAAGCCCTCTATACATGCGGAACGGGGCGATATCTCAAACACACCACATCTTGAGCTGACTCTTGCTCTCTCTCTCTCACCTATTATTTGATTCTCTCATTAATAAAATTTTTAGGCCACCGTCGCCGCCTTCAGTGGTTAGGTCACCTCGACCTAACTACCAAATCTTTGTCTCTTATTGTTAATTATTCCATCAATTACCTTGTGTCATACACTCGACTGATTTGATTATGCATAACCTATTTTGTACATCATTAGTCAATATATTTGTAAATCTCGAAATATGTCTTCAAGGAAACCTCATAATTGTGAGCTGCAGCCCCACACCTCAAACTTGATATAGTGTTTACTTCCATTTTGAAAGAAATAGTTCCATTCAAAGATTGGCGGGGAAGAAAATAATTGGTTCTCTCGCACTGGTACCAGAAAACATATGGCAACATCAGAAAACTTTATGGACAAGATTATAATAAGCTAGTGAAGGAAATCTAGAGATTGGGTGGTTGGTAATACTGGAGAGCATTTAAGTTTTCTGGACGAAATAGGAGTTTTTCCCTAACCTTGAACACTTGAACAGACATTAGAAAAAAAATAATTATTTAGCAATCTTATACAAAATTCCTTAGCACTCACCTAAGGTCAAGTGTTCTCACAAATGACGAAATGTCAGATATAACTCTAGAAATAGAAAATATGGACCTAAGAATCTCACCTAGAATTCCTTATGACTAACTCTTGGAGGTTAGATTGCATCATAAACAATAGTATAGAACTCTTGTGATTCAGAATAATGAGTCTAAATGCTTGAAACAACGTAATGATCCTTATAACCCAACCCCCCAAGTTAGGCTATGCTTTAATGACCAAAGGCTATCGATCACTTTGATAGGTGGTTTTCCCAGAATAGGTAATAACACATTTGTCATAGCATTATTATTCTTGAGTGCCTCGTAACTCAAGCTCTAATTCCAATTTCACGGCCCTTGCGGTGAGATTGCTCTCCCGTGACATGGCTATCAAGGGTGTTCCAATCCAGGTATAGGTGTTCGACTCTCTGTGCATGGTTGAGGTCGACCTCACGAGTCGAAAAGGTGCATAGTGGGTGCAATCATCCCTACAAAAAGGCAAAAACAAAATGAAGCACCCTAAAACTTTTTCCTTCCCTTATACTTTATAAAAGAACTTTTTTAAGTTCAAACAGAGGCATATATTCTACAAGAACAATTCCTTCACTTCAATTTTCTATCGAATATAAAACAAGGAGTCAGACACTGGTTGTTTCAAATAAATATCTCCACAATCACAGAGCACAAATGAGAAAAGTTATAGAGTACAAGAAGCGTAGGAGAAGGAGAAGGAAATTTAAATCATGCCTAATCAATCTCAAAAGCAATCTATTCGAATAGCATAGGCACCCAATGACCCAACTATTCTCTATCATGCAATCAAGAAGCATTAATTACACAGATCAAACAAGAAGTAACGCACACACACACACATATTATATCTATAATATTACAGCTAAAAAATTAAATTCTTAATTTATAAAAACAGCCGAGATTGATATTTTTTTTTCTTATCACTTTAATTTTAAATTAGATAATTAAAAAAATTAAAATAAATTACTATTTAAAATATAAATGTTGTACCACAAACACACACATATCTATATAATAAAACACCTCATACTTTGAATTTTATACCCTATATATTTCTCCCCCAAACTTATCACACACTACCACCAGTATTATTACCAGTCAAACAGACAATCGACGAGACAGGCATGGCCACTTCCTCAAATCCATGCCTTCGATTTTTTCTTTTAGCTTCCTCTTCACTTCAAACATCTCTCTGTCTGTCTCTGTTACCCATAGTTGTCAAATATCGTGAATCGAAATTCTAAATTTGAGAATCGTGAATCGTAAGATTCGATACAAAATTTGAATAAAAATTAAAAATAATACTACAAATTTAAAATAGATAAGATATTAAATATTGAACATTATTGCATTCTAAAAATAATCAATTAACATAATCACGTTGTCTAAATAGAAAGACACTAATCTTTTGCTTTATTTTCACCTTTTGCTTAATCATTTGCAAATTCAAAACTTGAAAAAAAAAATTATTAAACAACTATGGCTATTCAAGAAGCAAAATAGTGACATCCAGTATAGATTAGGTTACAAACATGAATGGAAAAAGAATAAATAAGAAAATTGATTGGGAGAAAACACGTGGGCCAACATTTTACCTAACAAACTACCCATGAAAGAATTAAGAGTAAAAATCAACCAATGATGCGAGAGCGTTAGCCATGACCTTTAACTTTAACCAATGCAATACGAGCTTTAGACGATGTCAAAAAGAGAATGAGCAAAGGGATTGAATTTTTATTAGGGCATGGGTTCCTCTGCAAACAAAACGAAGTCGTTTTACTGTTTATGCGACAAAACGACGTCGTTTTGTCAAAAATTTGGGTTTTAAAAAAAGTAATTGAATCGTGAGATACTAATTAAATCGTACGATTCAACTCTAAAACGATTCTCATATAAGAGACGAATCGTTTTGTACCTGTATCAAATCGAATTAGAAATCGTACAATTTTGATAACTATGTTGTTACCACCATCAAAGCTAAAACCACCAAGTTCGTTGCAGGCACAGCCACCTCTATAGCCACAGCCACCGAGTTCGCTGCAGCCACTGCCAGGTATTCCCCCTATCCCTCTTCTGCGCAGAGACCCAGAAACCCAACAGACCCTCACCCTTCTTCCCCCTATGCGCAATCACCCTCCCCCATCCCTCTTCTGCAAACCCCCCCCCCCCAAATACACACACACACACACAATAGATAGACCACATAGATAGACCACATAATACCCCCTTTCTTTGCTTGCCCAAGATCCTCCTCAAAAAATTCACACACACAGAGAACAAACACGCACACACTTTTCCCAACCCACACTCACACAAACCAAACAACACATACACACACACACACATTGATTTTTGTTTGCTATTGTATCCCGATTCTAATTTCCAATTGAGTTTGCTCTTTTTTTCTTTTGAGTATGCTCACAGTTTTGTTAATTTTCATTTTTTTGGGCTTGCTCGCAAGATGTTTGAAAAAATGACTGACAGGGTTTGGTTTTATTTGGGTAATAGGTTGTTTGATTGTTGCATAATTCCTTCCTTGGATTTTGATTATTTTTTCAGATTAATTTATAATTGAGTCCATTATTGTAAGCTCTGTTCAATACCATTTTAACTATTGTTGTTGTTCAATACTTAATTCCATTTGTTGGTTTTTTATACTTACTTTTTTTTTGTCCGTTGTGTTATTACTTCACCAGCATCCATTTTTATTACTGCATCTTAGCACCAATGTCATGTGGTTTAAAACTAGTGTTCATTTTCATATCCAATGATAATTGCTTATTCATTTTTTTTGACATGTTTAATACCTAGGTTAACAAGCATTTGTTTTCATTTGCGCCTGAGAAAGAAGTTGCGATTGAGTAAGTTGATCTACAGGTGCACTAAATATGTCAATATTTATGTGTTTTTAGCAATTTTACAACTAAACTAAATGAATATATGTATTTAACGAATATTTCTAATTTTTTGATTTACTCAATTTGAGTTATATGTTCCTTTGTCCTTTTGAAAAATGAAGGGGGAATCACTAAATTCAATGGAGCCATACGAGTGGTTAAGGTATTAGATGAGTGAAGGTGTACATATTATGCTAAAAGCTATACGGTCACCGGTGTTTCTTTACCAAACACACTAAATATACACAATTTGTTTGTTTTTATAACATGCATTTGTCCTGTGAATAATTAGTGTCATAAAACTTTGACCTTGATCTATTTTGTTTCAATTCTATAAAAGTTTACAGATTTAAGAAAATTTCTCAATTGAAAATTAATTATGTTCATATATGTTTTCTTATAAGAAATCTTATATATTGTAAAGCGACATACTACATGCATACACAAAGTTATTGCAGACATTTGTATGATGAGCTTCATTTCACTCGTATTCTTAATAGTTTTTCTCATCTAGTTTGTATTCATTTACTTGTTAAATGCATATTCATGTATAAGTTCAATTGCTCAAGAAAAATAATGTTGGTGTTGCGATCTGTAACGAGCGCGAACTCAATATCATCCCCATTTCTGAGGTAGTGTCATGACACATTACAATATTTACAAAGCAATATTTTCAATTCACATTTTAACCCAACGTGCAAGGTGCAAGGTGCAAGGCACGAACGAGAAAGACATGATAGTGATAATGTTATAAAGCATCCAATGATATTATAGTGATAATTTTATATCAAAAAATTTACAAAGCATCCAATGATAATGTTATATCAAAAGCTACCTTAACCCAATGTGCAAGGCGCGAACAAGAAAGACATTATAGTGAAAAAAACAAAGAAACTGAGTGTTCTAAACGTCAATTAGCACAACGTGCACGTCAGGAACGGAAAAGAGTAGGACTAAGTACATCCATTTAATCTAGATTAACATCAAGTCACTGCCCCTGTGCATTTCTAGAGGGGGAAACAAGTAAAAGATCTCACATTCACCTAGTGACGTCTATGTCCTCAGATATTCCTCAACTTCAAGCAAAACAGACAATAATATGTAATGTTTAATGTCGTTGTTTGTGATCACTAATCTTCAAGGAATACCCAATTTAAACGAAGTCACCATGACTTTAGTCACTATCCAATTTAAACGAAGTCACCACCACAACTATATCAACCTGTATAGACAATCAATAAAATACTAATTACACAATCCACCGTCTAAAAAACCAACAAACTGTGAAACCAATTGCAATCCTCAACTTATATTCCTTCAATTCAATCAAATTGTATTATCTATTTTAAACAAAGATCCCACAAAACAATTTGTGGTGTCTATACAATGAACCAAGTAAAATGTACGTGTCTGTACAATAATATATGCATGTAAAACAATAGAATATCATTTTTCCTACACGAATAACTATATGAATACTTGTAAAAGTGATAGACAAACAACTTTAATCACACAACAAAATAATATAAACAAAAACCAAGTAAGAGGTATTGAATTAAATTTTGGGTTATTCTAAAATTTGCTCAATTCAAAAACCAAGCTCTTTTTTGGTTTATGTTATTGAGAGAAATTGAAATCAATGTAGGAAACTTTTAAATTTTTGACAGAGTACCCTCTGAAAATATGATGTCACAAATATATCAACTTGTATACAAAATTTATATATTTCATAATCATAATCATAATCAAATCATGTCATATGCACACTGAAATCCAACTATATACCAATTACCACAACACCATTCTTCCTACACAAACAACCATATCAATACTTGTAAAAGTGACAAACAGAACATAAAATTCTTAAAAAATTGAAATAGACCCATAAAATTTATAACAATCACCTAGGGGATAATTTTGGTTGCATCGTGGTGCCTTCATTCAGATTAGGATTCTCTTGAAAAATAGTGGCTAAAACGCGGTGACTTCGTTTAAATTGGGTATTCCTTGAAGGTTGGTGATCACAGACGACGAACATGAAACATTACGTGTTATTGTTTGTTTTGCTTGAAGTTGAGGAACATCTAAGAACATAGATGTCACTGGGTGAATGTGAGATCTTTTACTTGTTTCCCCCTCTAGGAATGCACAGAGGCGGCGACTCGGTGTTAATCTAGATTGAATGGATGTACTTAGTCCTACTCTTTTCTGTTCACGATGCGCACGTTATGCTAATTGACGTTTAGAGCACTCAATTTCTTTGTTTTTTTTACTATCATGTCTTTCTCGATTGCGCCATGCACTTTGGGCCAAGGTAGCTTTTGATATAACATTATCATTGGATGCCTAAAATGTGAATTGAAAATATTGCTTTGTAAATATTGTATATTGGAGGAGTATGACTATTAACTATAATGTAAATATAAAGTGAGATTTGGGAACCGGAGAAAACAATAAAGTTTAAAAAGTTAACTACAATGTAATACCACTTGACACGAAGTACTTACTGTTCCCTTGTCAGAAGAGATTGCTATTCCTTTCTTTTACACTTTGTACTT